CATCCTCAGTCCTCCCCCAGTCCCCCTCCTCCTCCTCCTATTCAGTCCTCCTCCTCAGTTCTCCTCAGTCCTCTTCCTTTTCAGTCCTCCTGAGTCCTCCTCCTCCTCTTCCTCCTGAGTCCTCCTCCTGGGTCCTCATCCTCCTAGGTCTTCCTCCTTCTCCTTCTCCTCAGTCCTTCTTCTCCTCCTCCTCCCTATCAGTCATCCTCCTCAGTCATCCTCCTCAGCCATCCTCCTCAGTACTCCTCAGTTTTCCTCCTTCTCTGTCCTCCTCAGTCCTCTTCCTGAGTCCTCCTCCTCCTCCTGGGTCCTCCTCCTCTTGGGTCCTCCTCCTCCTAGGTCCTCCTCCTCAGTCATCCTCCTCAGCCATCCTCCTCAGCCATCCTCCACAGCCATCCTCCTCAGCCATCCTACTCAGCCATCCTCCTCAGTACTCCTCAGTCCTCCTCCTTCTCAGTCCTCCTCAGTCCTCTTCCTGAGTCCTCCTCCTGAGTCCTCATCCTCCTCCTTCTCCTCCTGAGTCCTCCTCCTGGGTCATCCTCCTCCTAGATCCTCCTCCTTCTCCAATCATACATCTACGTCTCCAGTGTCTCCAATGTCTCCAATGTCTCCAAAAGCTTTGTCTCCAATGTCTCCAATGTCTCCAATGTCCCCAATGTCTCCAATGTCTCCAAAAGCTGTGTCTCCAATGTCTCCAATGTCTCCAGGACATGTCTCTGCACCCTATCTTTTCAAAAAAGACAAAAGACATTGGAGACATTGGAGACATGTCACCCCCCCCCTATAAAAATGACTTCTTACTGAATTCTGTCACTTACTGGAATTGCTAATCATGACTAAAATGCTGAAAACAGTTACTCACTCCAATCTACTAGTGTAATGTGAACAATATTTGAGCAAAATATGGCGAAATCAATGGAATTAGTCAATTGGAGGTTAAAATGGTTTGCTGATTTTTGGCACTCAGTTTAATTGCTCATAAGTCATATTCTGCTTGAGCCTGGCACTTCGTTTTTTCAAATCGCAACTGCTGAATATTTTCACTTCATCTTATGTTCAAATTTATGGTTGTACTTTAAAAAGCATTGCGACTTTTTCCTCATTTTGTGAACTCTACTTTGAAAAAAGTGAAATCAGCAACTCACCACACTTAAAAAAAAACGTGTCCATATGGAGTTTAAATGGTCAGACCTGTAAATGCTAATATACGCTGTTGTGCGGAGTCCTGTAAATGCTAATATACGCTGTTGTGCGGAGAACATCCTTTGGTCCACTGATCAGTACATGAAATGATATATTTAAATTGGAGGCAGGGCTCAACCTCCTTGGTTTGACGCTGAGTCTCATCAGGCCTGCCTAGAAAAAGAAAGGCTACACAAAAGTTATAAAGAAACCACGGACCCTTCCTGCAAGGCTGAGAAGTACTTTAAGTTCTCTAAAAGCAGAAGCGATTTTAAGAAAATTGCCTCCAACAAGATGGCATCTAGCTTTGAGGACGAGGATGATTCGAATCTAATTACAAAGAAATTCTGGTCCTATGTAAAAGCAACATCTAAGAATACTCGCATACCTGAACAAATTCACCTAGAAGATGTACACAAAAGTGATCATTCTGACCAAGCAAACCTATTTAATACCTTTTTTCATCAACAGTTCTCATCGCCTAGTGATTATGATGTACATGTTGATAACACACTCACACAGGATGATATTGATTATGTATCTACCCTTTTCAGTTCGTCTAGGATAGTAGATATTCTCAAGAATTTGAATACTAGAAAAGCTATGGGACCGGATAAAATCCATGGTGAAGTTCTTAAAAAATGTGCCTTTACGTTAGCCCCAGCACTGGAGATTCTTTTCACAAAGTGCTATGTATCCGGCTTCCTACCTTCAAATTGGAAATATGCAATTGTTGTTCCAGTACACAAGAAAGGCTCCAAGAATGACATTAAGAATTATAGGCCAATATCTTTGACTAGCTTAGTTATGAAAGTCATGGAAAGAATTATTCGAGATGAACTTTTGAGTAGATGTTATGATAAAATTGATCCTCGTCAACATGGTTTCCTGCCTCACAAATCTTGTGCAACTCAGATGGTTGAATTCTGCGATAGCCTATCCCTCTCTCTTAACAAGAACATTAGATCTGATATTGTTTACTTCGATTTTGCCAAAGCATTCGATTCCGTTAACCACGACTTAATACTATACAAGCTAAAATTTTATTATAACATCGATGGAATGCTTCTCCAATTTATGAAAAGTTACCTCTCCGGACGTCAGCAATGTGTAGTTGTTAATGGGGCTATCTCTGCAACCCTACCGGTGTTGTCAGGTGTTCCTCAAGGGTCAATAATCGGACCAACACTTTTTGTTCTTTTCATAAATGATATATATTCTGGACTTTCTCAGGGCACTAATATCCTTTTATACGCTGATGATACTAAAATTTGGAGAGAGATATCCCAAGAGGAAGACCACCATATACTTCAAAGCGATATTAATTATCTCATGACATGGGCAAGAACTAATAAGATGAAGTTTCATCCTGATAAATGTAAGGTCTTAGCTATACTTAAGAGGTGGTCTCCCTTAGATGGCATTTTACCATTTACACGTTACACTTACTCTATGGGCCAAACTCTTCTTGATTATACAGATTCTGAAAAAGATTTAGGCATAATCATGACGTCTAATCTAAATTTTAATAGCCAGGCCGATGCTCTATATGGTAAAGCTAACCAAAAATTTGGCATGCTTAAGAGAAATTGTCATTTTATTAATGATCTGAACAAGAGAAGAGTCTTGTATCTTACTCTTGTACGCTCAATATTCGAACACTGTCCCATCATTTGGCGACCAGCGTCCAGTAGCACTATCAATAGGCTTGAAGGATTGCAGAAAAGGGCCCTCAAATGGATTCGTAATGATTACGGTGTAAGCTATAGTGTAGAGGAAATCTATAATGCCCATTGTAAACAGTTAAATATTCTGCCCCTAAAGTACAGGTTTGATTACCATGATCTCAAGTTCTTTCATTCCCTAGTGCATCAATACCACCCATGCACCACTCTGCCTCAGTACCTTACTTTCTTCTCCGGGTCAAGCCGACTGAGAAGCTCACATCTCGATCACTTATCAGTAATATCTTCAATTCCACCTGGCTCAGCTATACCTTACTCGGGATTATTACGACGGGTTTATTAACGACCGGTTAAAATATGGTTCAGGAAAAATATGGCGAAATTGCTCAAAACCCACCACATTTTCCCGGTCGCCATTTTACCGGTGTCCAACCTTTCAATTTTAGATTCAAAAATTTTGTCTCAGATGTAAATTTCCTTATTAGAGATAAGCAAGTTTAGAAATTTTCGCATTGCTAAAACTTGTGAAACAAGTCGAATTATCAATAATTGTTGAAAGTAGACAGAAATAATGACTCGTGGTTAATCAAACTAGATGGAAAATAATTTTTAACATTTGAAGCGTAACAACCAGATCGATATTAAGATAAAGGGAGAGCTGTTTAGTCTTCCAATAAGTTGTAATCATCTTCGTTATCTTCATCTGGATCATCCCTTTCATCAGTTTTAATTAATTCAAGTTTTAATTTAACTGTTACTTTTACTTTGAGTCCTATTTCATTATGTAGAGATAGTCAATACCTAAGAAATTAAAAATTGGCCTATTTAAATCAAATTTGACAATAAGGATATATGACACGAATTGGGCAAAAAGGTGAATTTTTTGCAATTTTAGCCAAATGAAGTCGAAAAACCTACAACAAGTGTCCCAATAGTCTTCTTTAGTGAATATAAGACAACGATTAAAATATGAGCACCCATACCCCTTGGGAACCCTAAAAGCTGAGTAGGCGGGTTTATTAACGACCGGTGAAAATGTGGTTCGGGAAAAATATGGCGAAATTACCCTAAACCCACCACTTTATCCCGGTCATAATAATCCCGAGTAAGGTATCTAAATCTTACTTTTATCGAGCTCATCTCACTTGGAACCGACTTCCTCTTTCCCTTCGAGAGATTATCAGACCAGGTGTGTTTAAAACAGAACTTATTAAACACATCTGGAAGGAACATGTTTGTACTGCATCTGTAGATATTGACCCTAGTTCAGATCCTGACAATTCTTTTTCTCCAGACTACGGGTAGTGTATTTCTCTATTATTTTTGTTTTAATTTTTTTTTTGAGGTACTCATCACGCATTTTTGCTTTATTCGGATACAATTTTGATTTAGTCTTTTATATTCAATTATTTAAATTTTATCGTTAAAACTTCATTCCATTAGAAATATTACAAATCAGCCAATTGTAATTGAGAATTTTTGGGTTGTGGCAATTATTCTTAAAAACCTAGAAATGCCTCCTAAGTTCACAGCTCATATTATTTGCCCATTTTTCTCCTTCTGCACTTGGGGCCCAATGTAATTGCTCGACTTTTCATCAGGTCTCTCGAGGCCTTTTGTTTGGTTATTTGGGTGTATTGGTGTCCCCTGATTGTTATCATCGCTGTACACTTGTCAAGGCATTTTTTGGTTTCTCTAGTCCATTTTTAGAAATTCTATACAACATTGATATTGTAATAAATTCTGATGATAATAATTGAAAGATTTCAATAAAAAAAAAAGTAGCAAAGTGGCTGTAGGTTGAAACATGCGCGTGCGGCCAGATGGTGTTGTAATTTCGGGGCTGTTATCATGTAAATAGTAATAATAATGAATTTTGTGGCAATTTACTGAAGATACAATAGATGATGCAGATGGATGATGCTAAATACCACTTATATATTAAAGTCGTATATCTTATCCACGTGATGTAACGTAAAACACTAATAAGTTTGTAGAGTGGTGGTTGTAAAATACCTATTTTACAGGCTCTTTTCTCAAAATATCTCTTCTAGATACTTTGCACCAAATGATTTAGATATTAATATCATATTTTGATAAATAATTATACCACCACTTTAAAATATCCGTCAGGTGCATCCAATAGAATCTAACATAGACCCGGACTACGAGTGGAATGAGTGGGAAATGAGGAGGAAGGCCATAAAGTTAGCTAATCTGAGAACAAGGATCACCCACAGTGTCCAGACTGACGGCAGCAACTTTAGGAGAAACAACGCTACACAGGTAAAACTACTATTAACAAAACAAGTATTTGATAAAACAATTATTTACCTTTACGGCACAATCTAACAATATCTTTGATAAAAAATCAATGGAGGATTTAGGATATTTCAAGTGCCGAAGGTCACTGCTTATCGTTTTTTTAAATCAGTAAACTTTCAAATTGTTACACAAATACATAATTTTATTTCAAAGAAAATTCGCCGAATGACCTTACATACCTTGACAAGTGACCGATTGTAACCAAAAATAGGGACACTGAAACACCAGTTGACCAGTAAACTGGTCATAGCAATTACATCGGGCCCTAGAAATAAGCCTATTTGTGTAGGTGACTGTTTACAGTGATGATACGACTAGCTGAACCCACAATAACCGCATGATGGACGAGGGATAATAAATTGTAGAGGAAAATACGATCGTCATGCGATGTTTACAAAAGTTACTGAGAATTAATGACTTTTGCATTCGTCCACGGTACATATCGCTCGACAAAATTATGTACGACATGTGGGTTATAATCTAAAATTAAGAAACAGCTGTGCTCTGAACAATCCGGCACCGACAGCTGTGTCTCAGACATATTCCTTTTCGGCCCCTGAATTGCATAGAAATTATAAAGTGCCTGCTGACAGCCTGGCAGCAACTTGGCAGCCTGGCAGGAACTTGGTAGGCTGCCAGGTTAGCAGATGTTTTCACACAGAGGCAGCTCACTATTTTACTTATGTCTAGATACGCGACCTCACTGAGGTCACCTCATACCGAACCAGTTATTTAGAAAAACCTAGGACTTACCACTTCAATTTCAACCCCCTCTCAGATATACCAACCAAAGACACAAGACACCCAAACTACACGAGTAAAGGGTACCAGTGTTCCCAAACCCAGCGTCTTTATTGCTGGTCTCAGAGGTTGTAAGTCGGAGACTACCGAGGCCTATAAAGTGGACTTAACTCTGGATGTGGACACTCACAATGACATATGTGATTAGGCCAATGTTGATGTTTACTTTTAGTTATCTCACCAAATAGGTTTTGATATTCAGATAAAATACAGAATGCCCCGTTATGAGACCACAGCCATTGCCGATAAAGCGGCATCATATTTTTAGAATCATTGATTGCCACATATGGGCCATTGAAAAATGTAAATATTGTACAGAATTTGTAGATTTAAAACATTTTTCTGAAAATAAAATTTCATTTGCTATATAATTTCCATGTTTGTAATTTACCCTGTGATTGTCTCAGTTTTACTTGGTTCGTTTATTCATTAAAAAAAGTCAAAGTGTTCATGGAATTTAAGGGTATTAACATTTATACTGAATCTCTATATCTAGTGGAAGTTTTTAACATCAACAAATCCACCATTATTTGCAAACCTACCGCCAACTGACCCCTTAACTCCAACTAGCAATGTCGAGACTAAAAACAGAAGCAAAGAAAATACAAAGAAAAGCGACCACAGTGGAACTGTGGTCGCGACGATGCAGTGGTAACACGGAGGTGAGTCGGAGCAACAAGAGTATGAGAAACAAGTCCTCCAGCTCCATATCTAGACTGGGGGATCCGGAGCTGTCCCCGGAGTTCAAGAGCTCTATATTCTGCTTTGGAGGGTAACGATTGTTAATTTTACTAAAATCTTGTTTTTACTGTAGATTTGGGTCTGAGCAAAATTGGAGATTATCTCAGTTTATCGCCTCATATTTAATGAGGCAAGTTTTTGGGATTCCTCCTGTTCTTTTGGAATTCCTCCAAGTTTTTGGAATTCCTCCTAAACGTAACGACGTTCAGATTATAGGTACGGGGGTGAAACGGAGTGTTTAGCGTATGTGACTACAGCAGACAAGTGGGTCCCTCTAGCTAACCTCCCTGTAGGTAAAGTAAACGCTACTACCTGTCCCACAGGGCTGCTGGAGAGGGACCGGAGTATTATTATAGCTGGGGGCAGGGATATCAACGGCAGGGCCAGCAGATCAGGTTAGTTACTTACTCTCTAATTTTAGTAATATATGTGGCATTTACAAGTGGTTTAGTAAGCAAATTCGAGTTTTGGAGCTGCAAAACTTTAAACAAAATGATTCGATGGAAACAGGAGACTAGATAACCACAGCCTATAATGTTCACTAACCAAATAATCTATTCACTGTGTTTATGTAAGCAATAAAACTTCCGGGCACTCCAGAGCACTCCCATTGCGATTGTTGATATCGATCTCTTAATTTAATGTGTAAACTAATTTTGGTCCGTTGGGTGCGTGGGTCTAGACAATATAGTATCTAAAAAACGCGAACGTTCGTTTTAACCGAGATCATGACATTTAAGTTATCATTTGACGTCAAGATTTAAACGCAACATAATTAGTATACTCAACCCATCCACAGCCTATAAATGTACTCAACCCCTCCTCAGCCTATAACTATACTCCACCCCTCCTCAGCCTATAACTGTACTCAACCCCTCCTCAGCCTTTAACTGTACTCAACCCCTCCTCAGCCTATAATTACTGTACTCAACCCCTCCTCAGCCTATAACTGTACTCAACCCCTCCTCAGCCTATAAGTTCGACTGTAACTACCTGGTCTGGAAGCCTATAGCCTCCCTCCTACAGAAGCGAGAAGGTAGCGGGTCTGCCTTCTCTTCAGGTCACGCATTTGTAGTGGGTGGGAGGACTCCTCAAGAGTGGACTAATAGTGTGGAGTACTTTAATCCTATTGCTAACAAGTGGACCGCGGTAAGGGGATCTTCATATTAGGGGATGGATGAGGGGGGATTTCTGGAAGGGGAGCATGTAGATTGTAGATTTTAGATCTAAAAGGATACATAAAGGTTTGAATTTAAAATGAATTGTAATTTTTGTTGTCGAAACACTGAACTAAAGCTCAAGATATTAATTGAGTTACACCTCAAACTAAGTCCAAAGTTCCACCCTGTGTTCTTTTCCCAGATTTCACCGATGAAGCACAGCCGTGAGGGGTGCGGGGTAGCGTCCCTCCACGACAAGCTGTGGGTAGTGGGTGGGAACCAGTATGGTAACAGTGACCTGGATATTGTGGAGTCGTACGAGCTCAAGAAGGACAAGTGGACTCAGGGGATACCTCTTAACGAGCCCAGATGGGGATGTGGACTTGTTTCCTCCGGTGAGCTCTAGATTTATGGGTTCTGTGATTTTGTTTGTGGTTCATTTTGGTTGGAGATCAGCTTGAAAATTGTTCAACCGCACACGTGATTGTGAACCACTCTCACGTAAAATACATAAAAAGTTCTGCCCGACCACAAAAAGCACGATCTAGAATAACGAAACCAGTGAACCGAACAACGATTATTTCGGCGAGCTTCTTGATAATTTATTATTATGTTATATATTAATCTCTAACAGTCCCATTTTGTGATGAGGTGGTGCACTGTACGCAATAGGTGGTTATAGAACTGACACAGTCGAGCGATTCGACCCCAGGTAAGATATATTTTGAAGTGGAGAAGGGGTTTTTAGGGAGGTGGAGTCTAAAGGTTGAACTTTTAAGTCCTTGTACCTGTTGTCGCGGGTTTGATTATTATCGAAATTTACATTTCAAGTACCTTTTGAATTGGAACTATATCAACAAATCAACTGCTTATTAGTAAGCTTATTAAATTCTTAATGAAATATTCAGTAATCTAATAATGAGTGAAATTTCTCCAGAGAGGGAAGATGGGAGTACCTCGAAAGTATGGAAGTTAGGAGAGATAAGGTTAATGTAGCTTTGTTCGGAGAGTAAGTTATTTTACTTTTTATTGATCTTATAATGCTCTCTTATGTGAAAACTGTGAACTAAAACATCTTTGTGAACTTCAAAAATCGAACAGTCACTAAGTTTCCAGGAGTCACCATGGTCAAAACTTATGAATTTCAGCTATGTGTACGCATTTGGAGGTTGGATAGACGGGTCCAGATTAACAGCTATGGAACAGTACGACATCAGGAATAATTCCTGGTCTTACTGCGAACCTCTACCACATTCCAAGGCTGGTGTAGCCATGACTTCGCTCTATGGGCTGCAGAAGTAACAACCTGAAGTTGGTATCTAACCTCGGTTTATGCGGAAGTCTTCGTTTTTGCTTTATGATTTGCTTTACATAACCTGATATAAAATATTAAAGACATTTGCAGGTTAAAATCTCCTACATTTTTGGTGTACAGTGTATGTTTGAATTGCTTACTATCTGTTTTTGTTGCATGATACTAATTACTTCATACTATATTTGCTGACATCTGATTGGACAACGTTGCTTGAAAGCTCATTTTCGTTGCTGAATCTGACACGGTGGTTGCTGAATTATACTGAGACTGATCGTTTCTGTTATATAGGTTCTGTTCGAAAAAGTGGGTTTGTATCATTCCAATCGGAATGGTGCCAAAAATTGATGCAATAAGCAATATTACATACGTTAAATGTTGGTGTCAGCACAGTAGGCCTCGGTTAGTACCTCATTGGCCTACGTAGCATCCCCCGACAAAGACGCGTGAGCTGCTTCAATTCTAATATTATCGAGTGTCAAAAACATTTTCCTTGTGTTTCACTATAGATATGATTACGTTGTACATTTCTATGTTAAATTTGAATTTTGATAACGTTAAATTCGCTTCTTGAAGAATGATGGTAAGTTTAAGACTGAGAGGGAAAGTTGGATTTGGGAGATTGACGATTATTATTTATTGGTCAGAGATAATTTATGAGTTATTCACTTAATATATTTGAACAGAACGAATTCTTTTTATTGTTTCCAGTTCTTTATTCATTTGATCTGTACTACATAAAATTTATTATTCGAAATTATAAAAGTTTAAAACTCTGTAAACTAACGAATAATGCCTAACCTGGATTTTTCCAGTAGCCAGTGGAATGGAAATCAAAGAAGTAACATCCGAGGAAGCAGAGGATATCCAAAAAGAGGAACCAGAGAAGGTGCTGCGAAAGAGTGACCGGATCCTGGACAATGCCAAAGAAAATCTGTCACCCAATGAGATAGCAAAGGTAAACTAAATTTCAAATTTAAGCGATGCACTTAAAATCCCTAACTCTCAATTCTTACAATTTAAATCTTAACTTTTTTTCAGAATCTTATGGCCAGAGGGGGGGGGGGGGTTTAGATCATAATTTTTTAGGAATAAACTGCATAAAAATCTGACCTTGCGTTGCTGAATTATTACGCGCCAAAGTTTGAGGTTTACCTGTAATTACATGTAAAACTTTAACTTTAACTCTTAATATCTTTTTCCAAGATAAAGCTAAACTTTTGGACAAGACTGGCCACACCCAGGACCTGAAACTTTGAACTTAACCCCCAATTATCTTTTTTTAAAGACAGTTAATCTTGAATATACAATTTCAAGAACAGAGGCAAATATAAAAATTCTGTAGAGTAGAATTGTGGGTAGCAGCCCAAGGAACACCTGTGTCAAGTTTCAGGTCCTGGGTGTGGCCAGTCTTTTTCAAAAGTTGTGTTTATATGAAGAAACAAAATCATTTCGAGTAAATCGAGTTAATATGATGTTCTCATTGTGTGCATTGTTTCCCGTATTTAGTATTTTTTGTTCAGGGAGCAGGCTTGCCACATTCAGTAGTTCTGAACGTTTAGGCAAGGTTCTAGGTAGTGGTACACACAGTGGCGTAACGAAGGGCCCTGCTGACCCCGCTGTGCAGGGGGGCGCCGTCTTAGGGGGGCGCCAAATCTTGGTTTGAATGTGGGACAATTTCGAAAACTTTACTAAAGTACTAGCAAAAATGCGCGTTTTACTCTAGATACACACTTTTTTAGAGATTTTACTGGCGTATCCTCTAAAATCACCTAATTTGTTCAATTTTAGGGAGGGGCACCAAAAGGGGAGGGGGCGCCAACAGGGGGGCGCCTTTTCGGCAGGGGGCGCCAACAGGCAACGTTACGCCACTGGGTACACACTCAACTAGGTAATCTGAGAGTGCTAGAATTCTAAATATATCCAAATCGGGCCTTGAGTACTTTTTGTCGGTAAAAACATGTAAGTTTATCCCAGGCTGTATGCGGGGCATGGGGGACGGTATTATCCAATGAGAAACCAACAATCTTACTTGAAACTATAGACCAAATTAACTTCCTAATCAAATATATATTATATTTTTGTACATTAGCAAACAGTCGAGTTTCTTCCGTGTTTAACGCTCTTAGTTAAAAAAATATTTCTTCATTGCAGAAGCCGTTGTATCTGAATTTTACCTTATTATTTCACCACAAGCTCTGAATTCTCGCGAGACCCTGCCTCTGCTTTCACCACCAACGAAGCGTTGTTAACTGTTAACTAAGATTGTCTCACCATGATAAACTCAACAAACTACACTATATTTGGGATGCACCATAATGCAGAAAGATACTCCTGGGCTTGCTATATAATAGCTTGTTCGTGCTTCTATCATCCTTCTTTGGAGATACCCTAATCCTGATTGCATCCTTCCAGAAGGACGCTTTCAAAATCAACAAGTCTATAGTCACTATAATTCAATACATTGCTATCTCTGACCTTGCAATCTCAACTAGCAGAGTCCTCCCAACAACTGTATCACTATTTGCTAACGGTTGGATCCTAGGGGAAACACTGTGCAATGTCCAAGTTTATTTCAAGTACAACACTTACATAACAGGCTTGTTACTAATAGCGTTCCTCACTTCCAGCAAGTTAATTCTTCTCAAATATCCTTGCCAAGCAGCCAATTGGACAACAAAGAAAGTAAACCTAGCCTGCATCATTATTTGGATAATTCCTACGGTCGTTCCGTTACTCTGCTTGGTTTTGGACAAGGACGATGTGTACTTCGATTACACAACTTATAATTGTGCTTATGGGTTTAATGGTGATGTCGCCAGAATATTGATTGCACCTATCGCAGTAATACTCACATTTGTCCCCAACATTATTGTCGTTGCCACAACAGTTCCTACACTGAGGTACCTGTATGATGCGAAGAAATCTGCAAGGCAAGTCAAAGGAACTGTACCATGGCAAGGAGCCTTAACTGTGGCTCTCACTGCTGTTGTCTACTGCATATCATCTTTACCCACATCGGTTTATTTCATCAGCAAACCTTTCACCGGAAACAATCCTACTGGACCTTTTCAATTCCATCTGCTCAAAATCAGCCAATTTGTGTCGATGATTAACGTTATGTCGAACTTCTTTATATACACTTTGACGATAACAAGTTTTAGGAAATTCCTTTTTTCGAGACTGCCAGTTTTTAGGAGTCCCACTGTAGCTGCAGGTGATGAACTATCCCTGTAGTAAGTCTATCCCTGTAGTAAGTCTTTAAAAGCAAGCGATATTTTCCCATTACTAATAAATAACTAGTATAGTTATTGTAATAAAATATTAACCTCAATTTTATTAACCTCAATGTTGTATAGTTAATTTTGTAAGAATCGGTTGACCTCATTTATCAAATCACGTTAAGGCAGCTACAAATATGAGAATGGCAGCAACATTTTTGTCATCAAAATAGAATAATATTTTTGTCGATTTTTTAACCGTTTAACCCCTCCCCCTCTGGCCTCAACTCCTAATTCTTGACTCTTAACTTTTAACAGTTAAAACTCAAAGTTGATCTCTTAACTGTTTCCATGATGAAGAGTTTAAATAACTCTGAACTGTAAACTGTTGCTTTCCTCCAGGTTGACGAGATCCTGCAGAGTCTCCAGAGAGATGTAAACTGCCTACATGACGGTACCAGGTTCGCTAAGCGGAAGGCTCTGGAGCGGATCAGGGCTCAAACCTCTGCTAAACTCGAACAGGTGTGTGTCATATTAATCAGGTCTACTTCTTGTGATAGTCTAAAATCACTTGTACCTTACACGAGGTTGCGCATCATGCTGAAACTCTGGATTCTTATTTTGAGATTTCTGTCGTCTGTTCAAATCCTGGTGTAGAGGCAGCTTATAAAGCACAAACTTAACATAATGTTTCTGTCAGGGAGTTCTATCGGGATTATTTGCTGGTTTGTGTAAACCTCTGCTGACCCTGTTCCACGATTCGATAGAGAAATGCAGGGAGACCTCCGTTACCATGGTTACAGAGATAACGGCGCAAATGACTGATATCGAAGCTTATCTACCCTACATCGTACCTATGTGTGTCATGAGATTAGGTTCGTGTTATCTGACCAGACGAGGGCCAAGAATCATGCTTAATTTTAATCTAAAACTAAGTACATAATTCTATATTGCCATATCATATTATGGCACTACGTTGTATTTTTTAATCAAATATCACTCCTCTATTCAGGCCAGAGAGAGATAGTGGAGCCCAGTGAGGAGATAAGACAACTGATCCTGGAGCTCCTTATCCAGATAATATCTCTCGCTCCCTCTGAGATACCACTCTACTGCCAGGATATTATGCTCATCTTAGTCAGGTAGGAACACTTCTGGAGATTCACAGTTATTTGTGTGGTAGGACCGTATTTTTGGCTAATCTCTCGATTTTGTACAACTTCATGTTTTAACTAATTAATAAAATCAGCACCTCGTTACCTTTCTCCTCCGCAGAACTATAGACGACCCGTTTGCGGAGGTAAAGAAGCTAAGCTGCACGTGTCTGATAAACCTAACACGTGTTGCGCCGCGCCAGTTCCACACTGGTGCTAATGTGCTTCTCAACCCTCTTCTTCACAGCATCAGTCACCAGGTTCGTTAAACCTTATCAGGCATCTTGTAATCTGTTTGATCATGTTATATCATCTTGCTAGTACAGTAGCAGTTTTGATGAAACTTCAAAGTGATTTTTTAAACAATTTCGAAATGAGATTTGGTTGGAAGTAAAAATTAAACTGCCACCATTTTACCACAAATTCTTCAATCAGCATCAAAAAGTGAGGACGTTGGTGGTTCGTGCGTTGGGAGCGTTACTTAACAACGGTGATAACAAGATGATAGATGACCTTATCACTCATCTTGCTCAAAGTAAGTGGTTAATAACGGCTATCGCCCCATCTCTTTACTTGTTAATGTTTCTCGATATAACAGTTTTTTTGTGAAAATGCCAGTCTAGTTGATGTAGTTGTCATCTCAAAATTCTGCCACATTTTAGCTAATCTTATAACCCGGATTACAGATAACATATTTATTTGACAGGAACGTTTGACCCGTGTCCGCCCGTGAGAGAAGCAGTGTATGAGATAGTTGGAGGGTGGATGGTTACCCTAATGGACCGGTACAGTTACTTCTACAAGCTGCTGCCTCTTCTCATGACGGGGATTGAGGATGAGGTGCCGGGTATTGCTGTTAACTCTGCGGAAATGTTTGCTGCTGCTGGGAAACAGTGGGAGGAAGAGAATGAACAGGATATCAAGGTTAGCTTCTTTTAATTATATGGTGCGGGAGAAACAATTTTTTAATTTTTAAAGTCTCTTCGCCTCATCCTGTGGCCTGTTTTATTCCAATTGTGGCAGTAAAATAGTGTCCAATTGTCAGGAAAATAGGCAGGATTAAAGGTTTCATGATATTTAACCGTCACTTATTCCTGCAGGACGAGAAAGATTTCGCAGCAGCAGCTCCGGTCTACTACGGAGTGTTGGAGGGAGTGACACGTCCTCGACTAGGCTGCAGGATCTTGGTGGTGAGGAACATCAGTAAGATACTGCCTGGTTTGCTGAATGATCTGAACACCTGGGTCGATGAGACGAGGTTGAAGAGTGTGAGACTTCTCTACTCGCTCCTGCTTTACTCAGGTATTTATTACTTTGTGGAGTTATTATCAGTGTGCTCTTTTTATTTATTGTTATATTTATTGGGGGTCAGGTGAGTTTTTTGTTATAAATTTAATAATTATTTGTTTCGACGTCAAAAAGGGGCATTTTCTTGATATCAAAGAATGCACTGTCTCTAAAGGTGTCTCTAAGCATTAATAGAGTACGTTTTTCCAGTTTATATTTCATTGTCGACTGGAAAAAGTCGTAAATTTAATTATATCTTGACGTTGGCAATTTCATTCATGCTTAAACCAAATAATCATTAATCAACTTCTGAAAATATTGAATTTAATGATATTTTTCAAGGGAATTTATGAATCAAATTTATGAATCACATACTTTTTAAGAATGGTAAACAAATTTTAAGAAGGATTGATATTCAGTGATGTTAATTACTTACAACTTCAGACGTCAAATTTCGAAATAAAACACAGAAATAAAAAATGTTTAATAGTAACAAAGTACCTGCTTAAAATAATCAATCCCAGAAAATCCGCTGTTAACTGGATTCTCTAGATTGAGCATAAAAGTTTGTGTCTCTAAAAGCACCTACCAAATTATTTACAACAACCACGGTATAAATAAAACCTATTTGCGAGGCACCAAACCTTCTCCCGTCAAGAGGATTCATCACGTGTGTTTTTTGTTTCCTGAGGATACCTTTATTCGCTTACAAAACATTTTAATTCTTCAGCTCGATCTGATCATAGTTAGAAAATGCGTCGATTTTATTTGTAGCGTACTACTTTGATTTCATAATTTGCTTTTGATCCGGAATTAAAAGTTAGTCTGACAAATTAAGAGCTCAAGACTATTTGTCTCCAGTTTGTATCGTGGAAACATCACATTCCATGCCGAATTCCGACAGCAATGATAGAAAAATTCTCTCTCCTACTGGAGTGGCAGTTGATCATTGACTAAATAGGCGTTATTCCCTTTTTAACAACCGAGCATACTCAAGTCTACTCAGAAAGAAATAACAAACGTTAACAAAGTTTCTTTCAACACGGATCAAAACTCCCCTGAGTACCCTAAGACAATGACCAATGCTAAACTAGGAGCCTAGAGGCCCTGTGTATTAGTTTAAATTACGATGGTAAGGATATAGGTCTGTTTTAGGCCTTTATGAATGCATGCACAATGCACATAGATGATTAATGATGTTGTATACGCTTCCTTTGCAACTGTTGTAGTATATGTGTCAGGGAAATTTGCACGTTGGCGGTCGTACACACTTACAGAGAGAAACGTTCGAATAATAATTTAGATAAAATGGTTAAATCTATTTTTAGAACATAGCTCTAAGCTTAGTCTAGGAGTAAAACGCCTAAAAACTAACCCTCCCCAAAGATCACTCACCCTCTGTCCTTTCAGAAACGAGCTCGACCCAGCATCTGGAGAAGATTCTGTTCGCTCTGTACAAATCCTGCATGGAACCAGGCCTGGCCTCCGAGATAGACAAATGTACTCAGACCCTGGCTCAGTTTATCACACCCTGTTACCTGGAAACCCTTTGTGTTGACTGCTCTTGCTGGTGCTTCCAGTGGTGAGTTTTCCTTTCAATTTCAGTGTGAACTTTTTATTAAATTTATATGTAATTGTTATAAATTTTTAAACTAAAATTTTAAAATTTCATATGTCAAAATGTCAATCTTTTTTTTCACAAGTCAATCTCTTTCAGATTATCTTGTAATCTTTTGGTCTGGAACTTTTGAGTGTTGATAATTGAAAACCATTCGTCAACTTCGATTATTTCGAATTAAAGAGTATTTGTTGCCCAGGCAGTAATTAGAAAAAATAAAAGGAAACAAAATTCTTCATTCATTTTCATTAAATTCTTAAAGTTCGCTTAAAATTATTTTCCAGCATCTTTCATTTTCAATGAAGGCTGTTACCGTATTTAAATCACAAAATACACAATACAGCAAGATGATCACATTTATCATGAATACTGAAGTCTATGAAAAGAACTTGAATCCTAAAACCAAACAATTGATGTCCACTTATTCCCGTTGCTCCCATGTACCACACTCACTTTGGTCACATCCTCCAGCGGATAGCGATAGGGGAACGTCTTCTCGATGTAGCTATCATTAACTTGCACTTTAAACTCATTGTCACCGCACTCAATCCTAACAAGCATCAACTGTCCGTCAGTCAGGTGAGGTAATCTCGCTCTTACCTCAGTTTCCCAACTCCTGTTAGGGTTACTGTTCATGACGATGACGCTCCCGTGGGGGTAAGGTCGGAAGTCAAGGTGGAAAATGTTAAATCCTGTTTGCTTCCATAAGTTGATGGTAAATTTTGATGTTCCCTCCTTAAAAAAGGCTTTCCCTAATATTTGAGTTCCGGGTCTAAAAACTGTGTCTCCTAAATCTATTTTTGGGATTATTGGAGGTAGACTGTCTAGGAAATCAACGTTAGGAACATTCTTTGTGTGTTTCCAGGATAGAGCCACCCATTTGTTCCCCAAACTACCGTGATTCAACTTTATCATAGCAACATCATCCAATGGGTAGCGATAGGGAAACGTTTTCTCGATATAGCTGTCATTGATCTTCACTTTGAACCTATCTTCCTCACATTTAATGGTCACGTGGAACAGTTCTCCGTCCCCAAGCTGTGGTAGCGCCGCTCGTATCTCTTCCCCCCAGTTCTTGCTAGGGTTTGTGTTCATCACAATTACATTACCGTGAGGGTGAGGCCGGAAATCAAGGTGGAAAATGTAGAAATTTTGGTTGACCTTCAGGAGATTAATATTGAACTTTTGAGTGCCATTTTTATAAACAAAGCTAGCCTCTATCACAAAGCCTTGTTGTAGTTTCACATCATGAACCTGGTTGATCATGGGGCTATCAGGGCTGAGGCTAGCAACAGCTGGAACGTTGCCAACTCCCAGTGTACTCATAAACTCCGCTAAACTCTCATCCTTCTGTGATATCAGCGCTGTGAGCCGTGCTACCTCCGTGTCTGACATCTCCTGACTCTTCTGAATTGTCCTGAGCTGGTGTCTCAGATACATTACGTATTCCATAACGGTGTCCGGGGCAAGGTATCCGAAACCATGCCTTAGTTCTTCTTCAGAAGCCGAGATTACTTCCTCCAGTGTAGATAGGTACGAGAGAGCTTCAGACATGTTCACAGTCTTCTCCTAGCCTGTTAGATGACTTATATATACAAATTAAAAATCAAGATAAATAAGCCAGTTCTGCGAAATTATCATGTAGCAGGAGAAATCACGGTATGAAAAGCTTGTCGAAGTATCATGATGTTATAATGGACGACTGTTTTATTCAGCGACTATATTACAAACTGTTTAAAGTTCCATACAAATACAAGCAGCACACTAAACTTTGGCTCACAGAGTGGTTTCCTCTCACACACTAATCAAGCTGTTTTGCACACTTTCTCGCACTATCTCGCACTTTCTAGCACATTCTCGCATTGCTGTACTATAATAAGTTATGTACTCAAGCTACTGTTACAATCCCACACTTATGTACAGTGTACTAACTTATTAGCTGATACCACATTGACAGAATGATCTGGAGAAACCAGACAATACACAATAAAACGGCCACGGATCAAGACGTAAATATAATCGTGAAGCCACGATATCCTATACAACCAGACCGTATGACCACTAATCGTTAGAATGTACGTTAGAATGTACATTTAGGAGAATAGAGTCCAAATTGATGCACAAACTCATTGAGTACTGATATGTAGACGGTAAGATATGTATTATGTAATGAAGGTAGACCAATAGCTAAATAAACAGTGCTAAGAGCACACACAATGTATTATAATGTATAGTGTAATATACCCGCACAATATTATACACGACAGAAGGAAGGGAGAATGAAAGGTAATACTGACTTTGATTGTATTACTAGATATTGTGGTCGGTGGTGTACAATAGTGTCACATTTCCAGATAATAGACTGATAATCTAAGACTAGGTAAGTACTAATACTAAGTAGTTACTAGGACTAGGTAGGAACTAAACAATAAACATAGCTAGGTACTAAGACTTGGTACTTGGTAGGTTATAATATAGTGAGAAAAACTGGATGGACAGCTGACAAAGTCGTATGAAATATCGAATAACCGGCAGCATTATGAAGAAGTGTATGTTTTTTGATTTGCCGGCACTCTATACCTATATTATATATTAAGGAAGTGTTACCCCTCACTAACTCCTTACTAACCCCGCACTTACCCCTCACCAACCCCTCACTAATCCCTCCATTCCAGGTGAAGTAAAGTCCCGAGTAGGAGTATCCCCCCAACTCTGCACCTCCTGTCTCCGTGTCCTCTCCTCCCTGATAACCGGCTCCCAACCCGACCTCCTGCTCCCCGTGGTACCGGAGCTCCTGGACACGATCTGCAGGCCTGAGGTTAACGAGTCCTCACACGGTCCTCTTTACAAGGAGCTTGCTGCTGTCGTGCATTCTCTTATCAACGTTCTGGGTCAGAATCTACTGTTATTATTATTGTTTCTGTTAGATTGGAATTTGGAATGTTAAGGCGGTAGTGTTATCCTATCTTCCCGTGTTTTTTTTTCCGGTCAGTTTTATTCCTGAGGCGGAAATTTGTCTTGAAATACTATACGTGCTGGCTACGCCCCCAATAATATAACAGAATATAAAACTCCCATATATTTGCAGGGAAGAGTGTGTCAGATTTCTCGTGTCAAGTATTCTTCTTGCTACTGAGATTATCCAGTGTGAACGGTGAGGAGGAGAGGGAAGAGGTTGAAAACATGTTCTCTCTGCTCGCATCCCATCAGGTACTGTTATTCAATATAATATGCAGTACAATATCTATATTATATTTTAAACTTGACGAAATCCCCCCGGCAACGGGGACATCCAGCATATAAAATCCATACTTTCTACAGTACAGAGCTTAGAGCTAGATGATTAGAGATTAGAGAACTTTAAACATAAATGATTTTTAATATGTCCTCGAACAAAGCTTTCGACTAGTGGGTTTCTAGTAATATTATATAATACTACTGTACAATAAGTAGCCACCACTAGCCACTACTAGGCAGTACATAGGGGCAATCCCAGCAGGTACTGTTATTTAAGTGTATTTATCTGACTATATAGTATGGTGATGTCACCAAATAGTATGGTGATGTCGTATTATGTAACTTGAACCGTGCGTGTGATCAGCCGTAATTCAATCTTCGTTTTTTCGTGTACTGTTTTCCGAAGAATTATCATTTTTGGGAATACCTTGCTCGTGTGTGTCTCTTTATACTTATAGTTTATCATCAAACTGATTATATGTTATGTTTTCAATAAAATAGGGGAGGAGGGTTCACCCTGATTAAGGATGATGACCCCCCCTATTCAAAACCCCCGGCCCCCTCTCAGCTGATTACGTAATATGTGAACGACCCCATAATACTGAAATAATATAATATATCTACAATAAATCATGCAATATTAGAAAATGTAATATAATATGTTGAATAAAATTAACTCCTGACTCCAGCTAGACTGTGTTTCCTCCAAGAGATTACGTAATCCTTCCCATTTTGAACGGTCACTTTTACTTTTGTTACCGGTGAATTTCAGTGTGTTTAGGGAGTAATATAGAATGTATTCCAGTCTCTAAGAGCCTTTTTTTGGCCTTTGCTTTTTACCTAACGAAATCGTGTGTTTGCACAGTTATTAATTTGTTTTCTTATTTTCTCAACTTCCGAAATATGTTGTTACATTTTCCAAATCGTACCTTCAACTCACTTTGGTTAAAGTTCAGTGTTTCAAACTATAATTCAAACATTATCTTTTTCCTCGATTGTTATTTAATGGTGACTGCATGAAGTGCTGAAAGTGTGGATGAAGAACAGTTTGAGCCAGAATTTGCCTTTTCTTATGCATATGCTTGCTATTGACGAATGTTCGAATCCTTTAAAATCTAGTTCTACCGATATAAATAATGTGTTTAATTTATTTCGGGACTACCCTGTACCGATAGTAGAATAGTGAAATATTCTGGAGCAAAATTGTCTTTTCATTTCTCATCACTTGAGCACTTGGTCAAGGGCAGTTCGGGCCTACCCTGTACCGATAGTCGGCTCTGATTATATGTGCAATATGTTCTTATAATTATGTAATACTCATAATATTCATACATTACATTTACTAAACACTTATTGTTATTTGCTACTTGTAATGTTTTGTCAGTTATATTGTTTTACGGTCTGATGTAATGAAAGATTTTAGATATTAAGTGAAAAACGTGTTTAAAACTATATATTGATAAGAATTTATTAAGACATGGCAGAACAAATGTTAGTTTACGACATTAAGGGGGGGGGGGCCAATGGATATTTTTTTGTGAAACTTGATTTCGAGATAGCAGTTGACCAACAAACTAAGACCAGTGACCGAACTTTTGAGGGGGTCCCGGACCCCAACCGCCAAACGGTGCCCGCGGGGCAGCCACGCCCATATTTGGTCCAAATTAGGCCCAATTTAGCCAAATACTCTGAACATGCCCAAAACCCAAATTTTAGGTGCTCTACTTGTAGCTAGTGGTCTCCTGAACTCGTATATGAAATTTCATCAAGATTGGACAAAAAATGACTGAGTTATGAGCCAAAAACCATATGCCCATATTTGGGCATACGCACCAAATTTGGTAGATTTCGTCCCATATATTGGTCAAATATCAATATTTTTCACTGAAACTTACTTTATATGAAAGGTAAGCCTAAACTACATATTCTCTGTAAGTTATAGCTTTATATCTGTTTAAATGTGGATACTAAGGCGAAAAGACCACAAAAAATGAACTAAATTGCCCATATCTTGGTTCGCGATATTCGCGGAATTGATCTCATTAAAATTGTAACAACTCAATCAGTTTTCAAAATTTTTCCATGAAATTTTCGGAATCGACTCGAAATCGCATTTCCACCTTAGTTTGAGAACAGATTTTTGATTAAGGCCTCAAAAAAAATTTGGCGGCCAAATTCTGAATTTCTCCGGGAAAATTTTGGAATTTGGCCGCCAAATTTTTTTGGAGGCCTAAATCAAAAATCTGTTCTCAAACTAAGGTGGAAATGCGATTTCGAGTCGATTCCGAAAATTTCATGGAAAAATTTTGAAAACTGATCGAGTTGTTACAATTTTAATGAGATCAATTCCGCGAATATCGCGAACCAAGATATGGGCAATTTAGTTCATTTTTTGTGGTCTTTTCGCCTTAGTATCCACATTTAAACAGATATAAAGCTATAACTTACAGAGAATATGTAGTTTAGGCTTACCTTTCATATAAAGTAAGTTTCAGTGAAAAATATTGATATTTGACCAATTTATGGGACGAAATCTACCAAATTTGGTGCGTATGCCCAAATATGGGCATATGGTTTTTGGCTCATAACTCAGTCATTTTTTGTCCAATCTTGATGAAATTTCATATACGAGTTCAGGAGACCACTAGCTACAAGTAGAGCACCTAAAATTTGGGTTTTGGGCATGTTCAGAGTATTTGGCTAAATTGGGCCTAATTTGGACCAAATATGGGCGTGGCTGCCCCGTAGGCACCGTTTGGCGGTTAGGGTCCGGGACCCCCTCAAAAGTTCGGTCACTGGTCCTAGTTTGTTGGTCAACTGCTATCTCGAAATCAAGTTTCACAAAAAAATATCCATTGGCCCCCCCCTTAAAGAAGCTTCCCAGTATGCCGAGGGATCCGATTATAAGGCTTACAAGCCAAAACAAGTTGGTACGTTTGCAACAACCAAAGATGAGAAGTTCGTTAACCGTAACAAGGCAGTGATCCCAACTCTGCGGAGCCCCAAACTACCATTGGATCTAAACAAGGGTTACGATCCAACAGCTGAGAATTTCTTTAAGTCAGACACGAAAGAGATCTTGATGTGGGTTCAGGGTAGTCATGAAGACGGATCCCTGTCAGGCAAATCCCTGTCTGAAATAGATGTTATCGCTCAAAGAGGAGCACTGAAGGAAATAGGATACACCATCCACAACTATTGGAAAAATTCCTGGCAACTAGAAGCTTGCAAGTACGCAGGAAAGATGTACATCAGGAAGATTGACACACCACAAGAGATTGGCGGCAAGGATGCACAATGGGGCAGGAAATTTGAAGAACTTTGGATTGAAAGGGATCCAGATATCAAAGCCACCTACCGAATGCTGAAAGGAAAGATTGGAAATAAAATCGTTTTGTTAAGCGCAGAAGTGGATGCGATCGACAAAGATAAGTATGTTGAGGCTAAAACATGCTATCAAGGGGCGCTTCCTGACAAGATTGCCTCGATCTGGCTTCAATCGTACCTGGGAAAAATTGGTGTTTTGCATATTGCCTATAAAAATAGATGGGGCATAGTAGATAATAAACCAGAACGGCGTCAGATGTTCAAAATACCAGGTTCACACGACCTTTCAACATCTCACGCAAATATAATACTTGGTTTCTTAGGAGATGTTATTGATTGGATGTACGGAGAGTTACCTGATGGAAATGAAACCTGGCTGGTGGAATACAAGGGTAAAGGTGCAGAAGAACAATTAATTTGCTTAAAGGGTACTGGGGAGGAGTTTTTGCCCAGCTGGTATAAGCAGTTTGTTGACGAAAGTACTGGCACTAGTAGTACCAGTGTTGCTACCAGTAGTGCAACAGAGTAAAGTGCCAGCCACCTCCAGATGTGTTTACATTTTTACTATGATATTATCAATAAACATTGAACATTTAAAAGAATTGAAAAATGCTTGATTTTGTATGTTACCAAATATTTTATGATTATCTACCATTTTTTATTTCTTGCTATTAAATTGATTGAATGCCCTACTAAAGTCAAGTTTATGAATAGAGTATGCTGTTGCACGGTAAATCTTGAAATGGATTGAGTTATTTGTACCCCATCCATATGATTAACAAACCAAAACAAAGAAGGTAGCTCAGCATAGTCCATGACAGAGTGCCTGACAGTGAATGGTGTGAATAAATGAATACATCATGAAGCACGCAAAATTCCTTTATTTTAAACACTGATAGTCATATATTGTAAATAATTTACCAACAAAAATCAAAACAACCACCTTCAAGATGTGTTTTTTTCAACCGGCCGTAAAAGTTAAATAGACTCGATTGATCTTACATGTGAAATACAAAACACAAAACATTTTAACTCATAACCATAAGTTGTGATTGCTGTCGTTCTATGCTACTGTTGTTTTCTCCGTCAGCTGTCCGTGGTCAATGCTTATAACTATTTACTATTTAGTGGTGTTAAAAGAAAATACATTGGAATCTGAATCAAAATAAACGAAAAGTTGTATCGTTCAATTGACTGCTTCTAACCGATACGATCTTTAAAATTGTCCGCATAAACAAAAGCTAGTGTAGTGTCCCTCGACCGTTTTAAACAACATAGGTTAGCCGTTTTTCCCACAAATTTGAAACACTCTATAATCTTCATTGCAAACAATCTCAAAATGATACAAAATCTTTTGAGGTAACATGCGAAAGTCTGATAAATTGCAGGAAATCTCTTTTGAGGAGTTGTAATAAACAATATTTAGGTGAAACTCATCCTGTTTACAATATAATATGTAAACATTTGTTGAATTGTTGAACTGCAGGAAATCACCGTGGATGAGTTGTACGTTCGACACGCCCCCACACTTGTAGAACAACTAAACGGGCAACACAAGGATTGGACCAGACACTCTCCTGATCACGGCTTATTCGGAGAACTCCTTCTCAGATCCGGTAATTTAATAAACACATTTTAACTTCGATATCTGTGGAACTTAGGTGATGAAAAAAATTATTTGATGAAATGTCGTAATTCGTAAAGCCAGAGTGATCGTTGATATCCGAGCATAAGATTCGGCAAACATGTGTGACGTGCAAGATGAGTTAACTCAGAAAGCATTTCATTTTATTTAGAGCATACCTTTTAAACTGTTTTATATTACTTGCGCTTCAAGTACAACTAGTTGAACTTGAACATTTTCAGGTAAAACATGCGCTACAATAATGCCGGGAATCTACAGCATCTTCAGAGACTGTACTACAAAAGAAAAGGACCCGGAGCTAAGAATGAGCATGTTTACCCTCTTAGGTAACGTATCTTAGAAAACTTCAGTTTTAAACTCAATCGTGAAAAATAGTTTGGCATTTACTTTAACTTTAAAATACTTTAATTCAAAATCGAATGTTAAAACGAATTTTAACATGAGACGCCGTCTAGTCCAGTCTTATCCAGGCTTTTCAAGTTTCACTGAGGCATCTCTAACTGTAGTAAGGGGTCGTTCACATATTAATCAGCTGAGGGGGGGGGGGGGGGGGGGTTCCGAATGATTACGCTAGTGTAATTTTGACACAATAGCTGTGTAAAACTGATTATGGAGGGGGGGTGAAAATGTTCCAAAAAATGATTACGTAATATGTGAACGACCCCTAATAGTAATATTAGTGATGATCATTATGTTCCCTGGCTAATAGTAATGTTAGTGATGATCATTACGTACCCTGATGCTGGTTTTACTTTCAGGACGTCTTTTGAGGGAAGCACCTGTAACCAGTGAGGCTGTACAACAGTTCTCAGTCTACTCGGTCGACATCATCAAAGAAATCATCATCCCCAACTTAGGTTGGTATTTTAAAATTATTTTCATTGTTATCACTAATCACAGGTAATATTTCACGATCAATCATAATGTGTAAAAATTAGATACGAATTCTTTCTGTAAGTAGAATACTGACATTAAATGTATACTTATTTTTAAATGTACACAATACATTACCAGAATGGAGAGCAGGCCGCACAGCGGGCAGCGTGAGATGTGCAGCTATTTCTAGTTTGTGGGCTCTTCTCCGCTCGGACCTCCTCACTTCCAAGCAACTCAAACAGGTACCCACTACCCACACTGTAGTTGTCTTCTGTGTCTTCAGACATGATGTGTTTTATATTTAGGGTTATTTTCAATGCTATTCTTTTTACTAGGCTAACAAAATTAAGCTACTTGCGAGTAAGATATTAAATTGTTTAACAGTTTCCTTTAAAAACAAGTACATTTTAATAAGTTTTACAATATTGTATTCCGGCAGGTCCAGGAAGAGTTGATGGCCCAGCTTGTGAGCACGCTAGATGACGATAACTGTGCAACTAGACTTGTTACCTGCAACTGCTTTAATTTTATACTTAAAGCTGGAGGAAAGGTAGGCGAAATCCTTTGTAACCTATGTTTTTCCATTTCAAATTTACTTTTACTTTCACTTTGAATGACACCATTATTACCAAATATTATAATTTATCAGTAAATCTGACGTCATTTACCCACAGGAATGTTTTGGTCCGGATGAGCTTCACAAGCTATACATAGAGCTGCTAAAACGTCTGGACGACAGTTCGGACGAACTGAGGATAGCAGTCACCAACACATTCTCCACATTCTTTAGTCTCATACCGGAGGATTACGACAAACAGCTTTATAAAGCTCATCTCCAGGCTCTCTACAGGGGCCTACTTATACACTTAGACGATCCTAACACGGTCAGTTCTTTTTCACAAGCACTGTTTTCAATATATCGATTTTAAATTTTAACGAGTTATGAGATACGGACAAACTAATAACGTTTGCTTCCGAAAGACACTCGGAGATATTAATCTTTATATAAGCACATTTAAACCGTTTTTTTATAATCAGGTAATACAAGAAGCAGTGTACAAAGTTCTAGAAGTTGCCGGAAAGATCCACCCGGAATACCTGTGTGAACATATCGAGAACGTAAAACACAAGCACCGGTCCTCGCTCTATTGTGATAAACTCCTCGCCCTTTTCAAACAATAACCCTGAACTTTGTATGTTCCTAAAACCCCCTGTTGAAGTAAACCCCTCCTTCCTTCCTATGTCTTATCCTATGTTTTGTTCTTTTTAGGTGATATTTTAGTTCAGTTTTCTTTTTTAAATCTGTCGGATTAAAGTTGTAGACTGCAGACAACCCTTAGTGAGGACACTGAATTTTACAGTCTGTAATGCTGGGCATGCAGTCCTAGGCTTAACAGAGTTAATCACCAGACTAATTTGGTTACTAATTTCACGTGCGTGATAAAAAGTACCACGGGGAATCGGTGCCCAAATTGGTATTTTATCGAGAGTGCAGTTAGGACTGCCTAGTCAAATCTAATTAATGGGTTGCTCTGAGTTTGACATCTTTCGTATTGTACATAAAGTTTTATATTTATTGGCGCTTCGCTTTATTGGTTAAACATTGTTTTAGTTTGATGGGGAGTTCAAATTATACAAACGAATGATATACATGCAAGTAAAATTTAAACTTAAAGTTTAAGTCTTAAAATGCTGACAAAATTGTTGCCTAAATCGTACATAAATCATATCGATCGGCACATTATGATTACGGGTGAGGCTAAAAAACTCATAATTCTTAGATCTGTACGACCCCTTCATAATAATGCATGTTTACAGTCCGTATGATATTAATCAAAATAACGCTTGACGCCTTCTGAAAATTCTCTAAAAATGCTGAACTCTATTTGGTTCCATCACGTGACTTGTATCTTTATCGAGGATTACTTTAGCTCGATACTGCTTCTCAGATGAGCATCCATCTGTGTAAGTGTGGGTACAGGAGACGCTTTCTCCCCTTTGAACTGAGCTCCATAACTTGTCACCGTATCTTGGGGTCCCTTAGAATTTTCTAAACTTATTGTGGAGCTCCTGCGAATAGTTCATATCATGCTTTATTTAATTGTTATCATGGCTTAATTGATTTGAAGTTTATAACTAAAGTTTTTAAGTAAGAACTGTAGACTCGATCTTTCGACTTACTTCCTCATTACTACTGATGGGGCTTTGCATTTCCCTTTCTTGAAATCTGCACCGTATACGCTGGTATTAACTGGTGAGTCGTGTCCAAAGTCTACATACTTCACAAAATCGTTCCTATCTCCCTGAAAATACGGCTAGCTGTGTGGAATGTGTTTATCAAAGTGAGTTAGAATCAATAAGTTACCTTATAATTATATTTCTCATCACGGAAAGGTGCTTCAGGTATAGATAATATCATAATTTGTTCGACTATCAGTATCGGAAATTCGCTGACACTTAAACGATAACATCTTCAGGACAGTAAAACATTATGGTTCAACTTAAAACCTTACCTTTAAGTATCGAGTAACTTTATGTTGAGGGAACATCACGTTGTTGGTTGTGGTCAGATTTCTATCTTTACCTTGTCCCGTCCACTTCATTGTCGACTCAACGCTTCTGGACATCGTTTCATATCTAACACTATATCATCAAAACTGTTCCGTAAAACTTTATTGTTTAATATTGGTGAAACTGTTTCGTTTATGATAAAGCGAATGCATACTGCATATTAGCATAACTGTCCACCTTTAAAAATAATCAATAACCATTCTGTTCCAATGAGGAAAAGTTTGTAAAGAACTGGTAAAGAACTATTTAGATAAAATCCATGAAATAACGGGTTGATTGGTTAATTAGCAATTTGAATTAGTTGAATATCATCAAATCCTATCACTACTAACCCGGTAAGATGGTCGTTTCTCCCCCGGCTCTGAACATCAACAACATAGTTTTTATCTGACAGAGAAGTGCTTGCCCTCGATGACACACTCGAATACCCCTCGTCGTCGTTCAGAATGTCGTTATCGGCCGGTCGACTTATCGGAGGTCGACTGGTAAATTCATATTGTTCATTTTGGTATGCAATTATGTCGTTTTGAGAACAAGGGATATAACATGTACCTAACATATTATAGATAATGAAAATATCATCTGCGATGCTACAAGTATTGAATTATGTAATTTATTTTATTATTATTTAGATGCTCAATTTAAAATTGGGATCATTTATTGATATTTACTTATCTAGTTGAACAAAATACGTTATGTAGAGATGATTAGAGTTCATTATATATATTATATAGTATTGGGATCCAAATTGGGTAAAAGCATTCAAATGATATGAAAATAAACTAAAGTGGTCGTAGGGTAAATTTGAAATTTGACGGTGTTTTCTGGCGTATCCACTTCTTGATTGACATATTTTCTGTTTTAATCGCATGTTAATCTCCTATCCATACATTTGTCTGTTTGGGCGCAAAAACAGATATTTTTCATCAAAAATTGTGAATAATGGCCACTGCAACTGAAGTTAGTAACACAACAAGGCCAAACGTCCAAAGAATAACAAAAACAAGTTCTTCAGAATCACTGTACCCGTAGGTATGGAAGGGTAAATCCCTGGTCGTGGTAGTAAAACTGATCTCGCCTCCTGGTTTAGACATTTCCGTTGTACATCTGAACTCCGGGACAGGGCTCACTGTTTTGGAGTGGAACTGCTGTCCATAACTGGTCTTCCCTCTGAACTTTCCTCGAGGCATTCTGTGTGGACTGTGGATTGGTCGGCTAAGGTTTGGTTGATTCAGAATTAAAAGTGCTAACAGCAACGATCGTTTTCAGAAACTTTGGCAGATATGATAACACTACTATACTACTAGATAGTCATAAATCACCGACGCTGCATGGCAACTTAAAAATACTGCTAACCTATGTTAGGTTAAGAATAATAGTGGGAAACAGTACTGAATGGTACATTAAATTGCAAGCATTAGTTCAAGTTGAGGAGATAAAGTGTAAAGTGGCCGTGGCGTGACCGATACGACTGATTTACACTGCGGTTGCTTCACGACAACGCCAAGCAGACAATCACAACAATTTGAAAACTTTAACTCTTGACTCTGATCTAACATAATGGCTTGTGATATCGCCATGCTACCCTGTGCAGGGGATTTTAAATTTTTCAACGATATTCAGCCTACACAGATGAACTTTCCTTGTATTCTGAAAATTGTGCATTGTTCATTGTGCATGGTATTAAACTTGCACGACAAAATGATTTTGCTATCAGACAACATTTAATCAAAACGGTTTAAAATTGCAACCTTTGATAACGCGGTCCAATGTAATGTATTTTCTTGAAAAACGATTATCCGTGATTGTGATCGATTGTAAAAGAAGATATAAGTATAACTGAAGTAGCAGGAAATATCTTATGGGACTTAATAATATAATTTGAACGGACATTAATTGGAAACTGGAGGCCCTTTGTATCACGTTGCGACCCCCACGGTCGTTTCCCCTGACGATACAGGGGGAGCCGCGCACTTCGTGCGCGGTGCGGGTCATACAACGTATGACAAGAGGCCCTGGCGTTCATTATTATTATACTGTCCGTTTAAGTAAAGGCCGATACGATTATTAAATTAAATACTGATCATAAATGCATTCAAGTATTCATTTCAATGTCCGTTCAAAATTATGTCCGTTGATCACGCAATGTCCGGTCAAATAACGTCCAACAAGGTAATATCTTGACCTTGTTTAGCTTAAGGCTAAATGGTGAAGAGATTAGATAAATTTAAACATAAATGGGTTTTTAAATTTTCTCGAACAAAGCTTTCAACTAGCGGATTTCTAGTAACATTATATATTAAGTAGCGAATATGGAATACAAATTTCAACAAATAGCGAATAATTTTTTCTTGCATAATCGCTAAGATCATCCACTGCATATGTTTGCCCAACAGGTTTGCAAGTAGGGTAAAGAAACACAGGCAACAGTCCAACTCCACTTGGGGTTTTGCAGTTAAAAATGAGCAAATGCCAAATTCAGGCATTACATACCATATGATTTACCACACCCTGTATTCATTCAATGTGAATTTCAAATATAATGCAAAGTGACGCATACAAACTACAAAGTTCACAAAATACAGATAATAAATACCATCACGCAATTCTTCAAAATACATCGAATGAAATGTACTTGTAGTACAGTAAACTTAGTATAAAAGTATTGACGATGATATCGTTGAGATTTTGATATTTTCTGCACCGTTTACATATGTATTGTATGAAATATTTGCCAGTCATTTAATAGTAATACAAGATATCAGCTGCCTTATTCTTGAATGTGTTTAGCTTACCAGAATATAAAAAGGTTCCTCTGAAACTTCGTATATTTTTGCCCAAACATTTCAGCTGGACGTTTTTTTGTGGTTTCTGGGACTGGCAAGTGTGTGTTAAAACAGCCCTGTACCGATTCTCACATGTAAGATGTTTCAATTAATTAAGAGGGGCCTATGTATCGAATGTTGTTTTAAATGGGCCTATGTCAAAATTAAATCAACTATCCCAATTAATTGAAAAGCTTCAGGAACATTTTCAGAGTGTAGGCCAGTCATTCTTTCCATTTAGGATACATAGAAATCAAATTCAAATGCCTATCCTAAGGTTAATTTCCATAAATAGGTTTTTATGCATTATCTCAAAACGACTTTTTTAGACATACGCCCTTTCTATTCGTAGGTGACGATATGGACACGTTCATTTGAGTTTGAGGATATTGGTAAATATAAGTGACCTTATTAAAAGGCACAGTGTAGTTGAATTTGTCACACTATGAAATTACACAAATCCTTGATGGTTAGGGTAATCGTCTCATCCTCTATGCTAACTTTGTCACTCAACGATATCTTAATCAGGTGATAAGATATCGCTTAAATACGGCAGGCACGGAAATGGTTACATTGTCACACTATAAACATGTGACGGAGTAAATATAGACCCCTTGCTGCCGTTTTTGACCAAATTTTTGAGTGTCCAGTTGATTAGATGGGTACATATGACCATTACCTACATATTTGACGACTTTTTTCGTTAGATGGTGCACTCAGGTTTACTCTGTCACACATTTAAGAAAACATGTGAAGAATGTTTAGGGCACAATGATAAGCAATGCTGAGTAGTGTAGGTATATTTGATGGCCCGGAAGTGCTATGAATTGTTATTATATCATATAGTCGTAAGGAATTAAAACACAGAAGGCACAAACAAGTTTACTTTGTCACATAATCTTGATGATATCTGAACATGTGTGAAATTGAACAAATAATGATATACCAGCTTAAACCCCTTATATTATGTACTATGGATCAAACAACACTGCTAGTACCACGCACCAGTCACATAATTCATTATCAGGTGGTAATATGTTAACAGTGTCACAATTAAACTACCGCAACATGGTCAAAAATAGGGTAACTTCGTCACAAAAAAATTATTATAACTCTGTTAGCTCCTTGCTGGCAAAATAACTAGTTCATTGATGATAAAGTTACATAGTATTCTAATAGAGGTATAGCTCTTCAAAATAGGGGCAAGACATGTTTACTTTGTCACATCAGTTATTATAAGACTTAGGTAATCGTCATCAGAGTAACAGATCTTTTTCGTAGTTTGGATCGATTAATATAGGCAATAAAGCATCCTATGCCAATTTTAACACACTATCTTGATATTGTTGGGGCAGGGAAAGTTAATTTTGTCACATTTTCAGCGTCTTTGACAAATTAATCTAAAATTGTTAAACTTGAGCTCTGATGTTCTGGACAATATTCTACCGATTTTTTCTGAAAGAATGTTGAATTCTAATCAGAGTCATAGAATATATAGATCTTCAAAATAGGGGCAAGACATGTTTACTTTGTCACATCAGTCATTATAAGAGTTATTATAAGAGACTATTTTATTCTATAATCATTGTTTTTAACCTATTTACGATTTCGTATCATTTTTTGTGACAATGTAAACATCAACTGATCTTAACTTGCATCAACTACATTGTCATCATGTAAAGTTTTCCCGCCTTTCAAACCAAAATCAGATATAAATAATTCGCCCAAAATTTAAAATTCCATATATTGTGACAGAATTAACCTCATTTCCCAATAACCAAGTGCCTGTATTAGCTAACTATTCGAAACAACATATTTTAGGACTATGATTGGTAGATCAACCATCAAATAATGAGTTAAAAGGTTTTTGAGGACACCTCACAGTAGAATAGAGGTATGGTATTCTGAGTGTGACAAAGTTACCCAAATATTGCCTTGTAACCGTTCGATCCGTGCCCTTTGACCAATGTTGTATCATAATTGTTAGGTTGACCTAATCTACTATATTTCAGACTAAGAAATGATAATTAGACAACTGCAGTTAACTAAGTCACACAAAATGTGACATTTGAACCATTATAGTGCCTAACAACAACAGATTTTCTTTCTGAGCAGTGCATATGGGAGTATGGATTACGTGGCTAATGTTCAGAACTTCTGAACGTGCTAGGTTAATAGATGTCAAAATTAAGCCACTATCGTCGAAAACGCTATTATTTTTGTTTACCAATATCCTCAAACTCAAATGAACGTGTCCATATATGAAAATGTTTAAACACAAATTTTACAGATTGAATGGACTTTTTGCCATGCCGAGAGACCAATTAGTCAGTTAATTGATGATATTGATGCTAATGGTATGAAATCAAATTAAAGTACTGGAAGTGGAAGTCAAAATCCCGAAGAAAATTCAAAAATAATATTATCGGTGTCCCATTCTCTGTCCCATTTTCAGTTTTTACTTAATTTCACGGCCGCAACCATTAAGTCAGTTAACTATAAAGCTATAAATGGCATATGACACGATTGAGGTGCTGAATTTCGTTTTCGGTCGGAGGAAGCTCACTACAGAAAGCTTAACAAAACGAAAATTCATATTTTCCTATTTCTGTCCAATTTTTAAACATGAAAACTTCTGAACGCAAATTTGGCAGATTGAATGGACTAATTTTTGCCGAGAGACCAATAAGTCAGGTAATATATATAATAGACCAATTCGAAGTAAAAATCCCGAAGAAAATTGAAAAATCATATTGTCCCATTTTCTGTCCCATTTTCAGATTTTGAAGATGAAATTTCCAGGGTCGAAGTTTTACAGTGCAGTTTTGACTAAATTTCTCACCCGCATAGCAAGACCAATTAGTCAGTTAATTGATGATGTTATGAAACCTAATTAAGGTACTTGAAGTGGAAGTCAAAATCCCGAAAAAAATTTAAAATTTATATTGGCCCATCTTTTGTCTCATTTTCAGATTTTGAAAATGAAATTTCCAGGATCACCGAAATTTTAATGTTTTACGAAAACAGCCGCCCATTTTGATTTTGACTAACCGAAGTTAACAACAAAAATATAATCCTGCCTATTTAAGGGAATGGCCTCTCTTCAGAGGTTCGTATATCGTAATCGAGAAATTTGCTGATATAATATGTGAACGCTCCCATAACATAATGCTCCCATGATATAATGCTATGATTATTACTATTAGTATTAGCAAATTCCTAATTCAGGCATACTATATAAATATAATATGATTTGCCACACCTTGTTCTCATTAAATATACATTTTAATTTGATAGTTGGGGACGAAATGTTAATTTTAAGTGCAATCCAAAGTGACACATACAAAGTTCACGAAATGCAGATTATAAATACTTGTAGTTGTAGTGCAGTACATTTACACCATAAACTGTTCGTGGAAGAGGTCCGTAGTACCTGTAGTATCTGTAAGTGTATAGTAG